GCGACTACCAAGGAGGCATCTGCGTGTGACTTTCTACATTCGGACGAAGAGTGGGGTTCAACCTCTGCAACTGTTTGAGATGACATCTGCGCTGGATGAAAGGTGGAAGCTTGGACATGTGGGGCGGGAGTTCAGCGTCCCGGCTGCATAGAGAAGGGAGAATAAGCAATGCGAGGCAAATATATGGGCGTGGGAACTGGTTTCGAGCTGACACCTCACTATCAAATCCACACTTGAAGTCTCCATAGTGATGCAACCAGTGTTGAGCCAAGCTATGGAAAGCTTGCAGGCAGTCGCGGATTCGTTTCCTCAAGAAGTGTAGATGGGCCTTCTAAGGAAAAGCTTGCCATTTTCGGGACGCTCTGGGCACGCTGTGGCGCAGAGCTGAAGGCCTCCCTCGGTGCAAGTCGTATTGTGCTGGGATGTCACATGTCTTCATATGTCCAGGTCATGGCTGCAATTGAGACGAAGCTCCCGGGTTTCTACACCACGAACCTTGGGGAGACCCAGTCTTGGGACGAGCCCTTGCCTCAGGGAAGCGTCACCGCTTTTGGGGCAACGTGCCTGGGATCGATCAGCATTTCAGGTGGGGCACGGACACCTACCCCATGCACAGCGACCAGCTGTCCTACGTGCTGGGCCGCAAGGGCTCCACGCGTCAAAAGCTGGCGAAAGCCAGCGGTGGCTTTGTTGCAATTCCTTTACAGAGAAGCGCAGTTCAAGACGCAAGACTCGATCTGGTGTTGCCATGAGCCTTGCACGTCGCGATATCCATGCCATACTGAGGTTGCATCATGGAGTATGTCGGCAACGTTGCGTTCATGGTCCAGGGCTCACCTGCTTTCCAACGAGTGACAACTGAGATACGAATCGCCTTTCAGGCTGGCTACTTGCCAAACCGGCGCCGCGGAAGAGAGTACTTAGGCCTGGCGTATCTGTTGGAACTGAACTGCATTTTGCAGACTCGCGATTTTTCTGTTCTCTGAAGACACCGTGGGACAGTAGCAACTGCATGTTCCGTTGGAGAGCGGATAGCTACGGAACGCGATACCAGACACAGTGCAGTCTGTTGTCACTGCAGATGCAATTCCACACTCGCAACATAAACGGCTAGGGGCGAGCTCGACGTAACATTGAAGCAAACATGCCGCATCCTGAACATGATGCCGTCAGGTTGGCTTTGCGACCAAGTTGGAAACAAGACAGGCCGGGGCGGCTGGGGGATGACCGGAAGCACGCGACTTCTTCGCTGGAAGGCCGAATCTCCATCGACCCTTCTGTGCGCGAAGACGTGACCCTGGTCCCGGTGCCTAAAGATTGCATTGGATATGTCATGGGCGATAAGCGGGGAGCTCAGCTCCAGGAGTCCAGGAGTGCGTAGGACAGCTCCCGGCTAGTTGGAGCCTTTGCCAGGCGGAAGACTTTGAGCCGCCTGGAAGAGGTCCCTTTGCCTCTCTTTTGCGCCCTCTTCTCGCAGTGCTGCCGTCCTTTGGGTTCAACACGATTTCTAGGGGGGATGGAGGTGTTGACGCGAGCACTTAATGTGTTCGAGTCTTCCGGCGAATGATTGGTAAGATGGATGTACAACATGTGGTGCAGTAGCCCGAGTGGGTGTGCGGCTTCGAGCCGAACCTGCACAGGACTGGGAGACGTTGATCTTCTTCGTGGACAGCAGGGGCCTTCCTCCAACCTACCAACAGGCAAGCATGCTGTCGACCGGATCTGCACCGACATGTGACATGTGATAAGCGTCCGGATAGATTCCGGGTGCTCCCGAAGGGCTAAAGAAGCTCCTGCACCTCCAGTTGCCTGTGGCACTTGCAGGATGATGTGGAGGGCCTGGCCATCTTCGGCTCCGAACGTGGCCGCGCGGGCACAGAGCTGAAGGCCTTGGGACGGGCACCTAAGTCAGTCCTCGTAGACAAAGGAGTCGGAGTGGGCTAGGAGGAGCAGCTCAGGAGCAGCTGAAGCCTTCAGCAAAGGACAGGCAAATCAGGCAGCATAATCTCTGACCACCGGCGGCGCTGCGATGGAAAACAATTCCGCAAAATCGTGGTTTGCCATCCCAATCACGAAGTCAGTCCTTACACCTTCGTGAAGCTTTATAATGCATAGAAGTAGTTCCATTTAGTCATCATGGAATGTCAAGGACGGGGCTTGGATCAGCAAGCAGGACCGTGTTTTGCATCCTCTCAATCCGAGTTGGTTTGGCCTTTCGTAGAATTGAACAGCTGAGACGGCTGTCACCGGCTCCTAAGCTTGGAGTGGCGGCACTGAAACGAAATAAATTTCCAAGTCCGGGCACACTGCGGAAGACATCGGAAGACTTAAGAGCCGAATGTGAGGTCAGCGGCATCAGCCGCGGAGATCGAAAAGGTCGCGTGCCAAAGCAGGGTCAAATAGAACCAGCAACCACTCGTGCAGGCAAAATGTTGAACTTCGAATCAGCTGTGATTGTCGCTGTGGTCTGCAGTGGTGGCTGGCGCAACTGCTGGCATGATGCCACACCTGGCCCTCGTACGATTCACAGTGGAATTTCTCGATTTTGCCAATGGCCAATGGCCACTTTGGCTGTCTTCAGAAGACTGTCTGCGCATGCCTTATGCGTACATGAGCATGTACCGGGCTACATAAGCATGATTACCATGACTGGTAGTTCCTGGGATGAGGAGTGGTGGAAACATGTGGAAACAACGTCTATTCGTAAGACATGATGCAACCGAACATCGCTGGCGCACACAGAGTCATCGTGTTTTTCTGTGGAATAGCTCATGTTTGCATACGACCCGACGATATACAGGCATGCACATATACACGTTACATGTATATGTATATGTATTTGCAGGGAGAGGGAGAGAGAGGAAAGGGTAAGAGTACGTTCCCTAGCTTCTACTTCTACCCTTTCGAAAGAACGGAAGAGTAATAAGCTCCCTTTCTCACCGGCAAAGACACGAACCAGGGCACGGACGCCCGCGGAGGGTCCGATGGCTGCTCGTGCTCTCTTGACTGTGCTGTAAGATAGACAAACATGTGCACGCATGCATGTGTTCATGTTTGTGTGTGTGTGTATCTGCGTACCTGTGTCCATGCATACATTATCGTTTGTGGTGTAGCACACGTGTGTGCGCATGGACATGAGCGATTCGTCGTGCCGGCAGCTGTCCCGGCTCGACATCGCTTTTTCGGCGGTCAGACGTTCTGTAGCATCTCCACCCGGCCTTGCCATGTCTTTCTCGGCGGTGGATCTTGAGGCGGCCTTTGCGGTGATCCTTGCGGCGTTGGAGGAAGGGGAGGACTTGGCTCCCTTCCTCCAACAGTTCCCCGCAGGCGCCAGGCGAGCCCTCATCTTGATGCTGCAGGCGTCACTCCCGGCGAGCCGGACAGCAGTAAGTGGAAACCCGGCACCGCCTAAGGCGGCTGCGCCGGCAGTTGCTCCTGGCGTTGGTGGCGCATCTGGGTCCAACGATGGAGCTCCCGGCGGCACTGGTGCCTCTGGTTCGGGCGATATGGCGGCGTCTGCCGCGGCGGGTCAGGGCATCCCGGAGCCCAACCCGGAGCCCCCTGCTGCTTCGCAGGCGCCCGGCTACCCGGCACCCTGGCCGGTGCCACCGATGCAGAAGCGGCCCCCACCGGTGCCGGCGGGAAGCGGCGATGGCCAGCTGCCTTCCCCGGCGACGGCGGCCCCGGCTAAGCCAAAGCCGAAGGGCCCGCCTGTCGCCCTGTGGGCCTCCGAGGGCTTCAACTCGGAGGCGGATGCCCGGCAGGCCCGGGAGCTTAACTTCGTCACCGCGGCGGAGTTCTACGCGGCCTGGGCGGCGGCATCTGCGAAGCAGTCCTCTTTCCCGCCGGCGAAGCCGGCTCCGGTGGCCAAGACGCCGGCCCCCAACTCAGCGGAGATGACGGCGCTGCAGAACCAGATCGCGGCAGAGATCGCGGCGGGGACCCCGGCACAGCCGGCCCCTGCCGGCCCTGCGGCCCAGGCGCCCGTCCCTCCCGGCTTCGTCCGCATGGAGATCCGCGGCGTCACCTACACGGTCAATCGGACCACGGGGGAGGGCTTCCCGGAGTTGCCGCGGCGACCCGGCCGGGGGGCGTCGGACGCAGAGCGCCGCCAAAACGATGAGATGTTTCGGCGGCTGGTTGATGTTCGCTTCCGGCTCTGCTCCGTCGAGTGGCAGAACCACATTCGGCGGATCAACCAGGACGGCGCCTCCTCGGACGTCCCGGTCCCGGCGGCGATGTTGGCCTCCATCGTCGACTCGGTGGAGGCCCTCGAGGAGCTCGAGGATCGGGCGCGGCTTGGCGGCGGTGCGGCCACGGCCGTGGTGCCCACGTCTCCCGGCGCAGCGGATTACATTGTCCGCTCGCTGGTTCCAAACCATCGCGGCGGTCGCATCCCCGAGCGGCTGTCCGGCGAGGTCTGGTGTGTGGGCTGGTGTGGACGGCCATGTCCCGGCTTTGAGGGCGTCTGCCAAAGCCCCGGCGGCAGATGCCTCCGCCCGATCCTCATCCGGCGTGGCGGCACGGTGGACCTGGAGGCGCACATCAATCACCTGTGCGATGCGTGCCGGCGCTACCGGAACACGCGTGACGGCCGGTTCTAGTGCCGCCCGCCGGCGGGCTACTTTGACCTCGGCGAGCCCTACCTCTTCCTGGCGATCGCCCGCATGGTAGGTCTCCTGGCGTAGCCCTCAGCCGGTTTCTTCTTTTTGGGTCCCGGCGGTGCCGCGACGCCTTCGCGGGCCTCTCCGGCGGCCGCTGGCCCACGATGCTTTAATTTGTTTCTGCACTTGCTTCCCGGCGTGCCGTAAGTGCAGGTCGGGAGGCCCAGGAGCCTCGGATCATAGCCTGGCGCGAAAAGTCGGCCCGGCGGTGTGTGCCTGGTGTGCAGTCGGCGCGAGTGGCAGTGCTGTCTCCTACCCGGCCCGCCCCCTCCGACCCTAATCGTCGTGGCGCGTTCGTTGAGGTCGTAGCGGCTCAAGCTCCCCCCCGGCTCAAGGATGTCGGCGGTTGATCTCTCGGCCGGCGGCGGGTTCGCCCAGGTGGCGCGGGCCTTCGTCGACATCCAGGCTCAAGAGTTCCTGCCGATCCTGCCGGCGGCGGGGGTGCACGACCTCCGAGGCGCCCTGGACAACACCGGCGCACTGCTCCTGGCCGGCGTGCCAGAGGAGGTGCTCCTTAGGCTGGGGGCGTGGCGCCCGGCCCCGGAGAGCTCAAGTCGAGCCCGGGCGCCCAGCCCGGCGGAGAGCAGGCTGGCCCTCCCGCCAGGCGAGCAAGGCATTCGACCGGCAGCGCCCGGTGACCCGGAGCCGGCCCAGGCGCAGCCGGTCAGGGCTGACATCCCGGTGAGGCGCGACGGCCTGCAAGAGGACGGCCCTTCAGGCGGCCTTGCCAGAGCTCCAGGCGGAGTCGCTGGCGGACCTCGACGGCGCCATCATGGCGCGCTCCTCTGAGGGACCCTTCCGGTCCAGGGTCCGGACCTGGGTGGACTTCACGGCGGCCTGGGCCCTGCCGGCGTGGCCGATCTCCCTGGACTCCGTCAGGAAGGTCGCGGCGAGCATGCGGAAGGGCAGGTACCGCTCGGCGCAGAACTACTTCGACGCGGCGGTGACCTACCAGGAACACTTCCGCGGCGAGCTGGTGGACCCGCTAGTCCGGCGGGCCATCCGGCGTTACGCCAAGGCGGTGGTACGTGGCCTTGCGGGGTCCAAGCTCAAGGCGATCTTCCCGGCCATGCGGCTGGAGCCGCTGCTGGATCCCTCGCCGGCGTCCGCCGCGGAGCCTTGGGCCCCATGGAAGGCGGCGCACTCGGCGGACGCCCTCCTCCTGGCGGTGTGGTTCATGCTGCGTGAAATCGAATTCGCGGCGGCCCGCACCGAGGACATGGAAGCCGGCGAGGACTGGGTCCTTCTTCGGATCCCCCTGCACAAGACGGCGCAGGGTGGCGAGAGAGAGCTAACGGCGCGGCAGCTCCGTTGCGCTTGCGGCATCCAGTCCCGGCCGATGTGCCCGGCACACGCTGCGCTGCGCCACGTGTCCCGGCTGAAAGCGGCCGGCCTCTGGGTCCGAGGCGGGCCCTTGTTCCCGGACGCGGCGGGCAACACCTGGGCCAAAGGCGAGACCGTCCTGCTCTTCCGGCGGGTGTTGCTGGCCGCCGGCGTGGCCCTCACCACGGTCGACCACGAGGGCCAGATCGTGCAGCTGTTCGCCGGCCACTCGGCGAGGGTCGCCGGCGCGGCCTGGCTGGCGTCCAAGGGAGTGCCGACGGCGATCATCCAGTTGTTGGGCCGCTGGTCCTCCACGGCGGTGGAGCGCTATGTTCAGGCGGCCCCGCTCGCGGTGGCCCCGGAGATCCCCGGCCGAGTCTTGGCTGGGAGTTACGGCGGCACGCAGGCCACCGATGAGGCTCGGCGAGCCACGGCTGGAGGAGTGGCGCCCAGCCCTCAGGCCCCTGACCCCCCGGCGCAGATAGAATCGCCGGGGGAGCCGGATGACCAGGCAGAGTTCTCCCCGGCGGTTCTGCTGGTGGACGCCCCGCCTAGGGGGCCGGCGCCCGGTGGTGTCGAACACCCGCCGGCGCGGGAGGACCTCATCTACAATGAGAAGGGGGCTAAGGTGCACCGGCCTGACCCGGCGGAAGCTACCACGGAGCAGTTCCTCTGGAGGTCTAGGTGCGGCGCTTGGCCGTATGGCATCCGGCGCTTCTTCCGAGTGTCCGAGAAGCCGGCGTCCGCCGCTTGGTGTGCCCGCTGTTTCCCGGCGCCGGCTCCGGGGGAAGGTGGAGGTTCACCGACCGAGCCGGTGGACTCACCGGTGGCGTCCAGCTCGGCGTCCGAGTCGGACAGCTCGTCCTCGTGAGAAAACAGACGGCGCAGGCGGTCCTTAGTGAGCGGCTGTGGTGTGCCTCTCTTGCTGGCGGTTGAGTGCTAGATTGCGGCGGTAGCTCTCTGGCTCTCTGCTGTCGCCCGCCCTCGGCGTGCTCCCGCTTAGGTCTTCCTTCCTCGGCTGCTGCGGCTATCATGGCGGCTCCGGGCGTCCCTTCGGCTCCTGCGGCTCCCGCGGCGCCCCCGGCCGCGCCTGCGCTGGCGGCGACCATCATGACGCCGTTCGCGGATCTGGCGGCGGCGGCGGGGGCCGGCCCTCAGCTCACGGCCTACCTGGCGGCCCGCAACCTGAACCGCACGGCGACGCTGGCCCTCATCGCCCACTCCTGGCCGGAGTTTGAGGACCGCGTCGTCCGGCCTTTCCTGGACGGGGTGGACATTGCCGGCACTGTGCACCAGGCGCCGGAGGCGGAGCAGGCGGTCGTCGAGGCCATCCTTCACCACATGTGGGCCGAGGCGCACAAGCAGTGGGCCACCCACATCGCGGTCCCGGCACCGGCGGCTGCGCCAGCCCCGGCCGCGGCGGCCCCTGGAACGGTGGTGCCGGCCCTTCCCGGCGACAAGCCACCGAAGACATTCCCGGAGTGGGGGCCGCTGGTCAAGCGGTACAACGAGGTGACGGTCGCCGGCGAGCCTCGGGATTTCCCCACGACCCTCCTCCTCGGCGCGGAGGAGGTGCTGGCGCGCATGTACTTCGAGCACACAAAGTCGAAGGAGTACACGGCGGTCGGCTTGGGTGAGATCTTGCAGCGGCGCACCTTCACGGCGGCCATGGAGGTGAATCCGCTGGCGATCCGGCGCCACAAGGAGAGGGGCCAGGCGATCCGGCTGGTGGACGGCGCACTGGTCCATGACCGGGAGGACCCCTGGACCCCGAGGGGGGTCCTCGGCGTCATCGACGGCATCGAGGCGGTGCGCTGGGCTTGGACCCTCACCGGCGTGGCCACAGAGAAGGGGGCGGCGGAGTACGCCCAGTGGTGGACGTCGAAGGCCCGGCAGCGCCCGTCCCAGCTCGAGGCGATCACGGAGTACTGGGACGCGTCCTCCCGGCGCTTGGCCATGCAAATGCGCCTTCGCCGGACGTTCGAGGAGGTCACGGCGGAGATCATGAAGGACCAGGCGGCGTTCCTGGATGTCCTCTCCCGCCCACGGCCCCCGGCGAGGAACAAGGTCAGCGAGGGCTCCAACCCGCCGGACCCGGAGACGGACGGCCCGCCAGGCGCCGCGGCGCACCAGGGTTACCAGCCCGGGCCCGCGCCACAGAAGGTGAAGAAGAACAGGCGGCGCCGCAACAACCCCCGCCAGGCGCAACAGCAGCACCAGCACCGCGGCGACGAGGGTGGCTCGGACAGCCGCGGTGGCGGCGGCGGTGGCTGGCGGCAGAACTGGCGCCCTCGCGGCGACTCCAACCAGCAGCCTGGCCGCCAGGACTGGCATGACGATCGGCGATGGGCCAATGCCGACCGGGCCCAGTCGTGGCAGGACCGCGGCGGGAAGAGGGACTCCCAGGCGCAGGACGGCGACCGCCCGCAGAAGTACAGGCGCTAGGGACAGCACGGGGCCCCGCCCGGAGCTTCGGCCTCGGGTGGGGTACCCGACCGGAGCCAGGCGGCACAGGCGGTGGTGCTGAAGCCGGCTAGGCCGGCGCGCCGGGATGGCAAGTACATCCTGCTCTCCCTCTTTGACGGCGTCGGGGCGGCGCCGGCCATCCTCGAGGACCTCTTCGGCACACCGTGGGCGGCCATGGCGTGGGAGACAGACAAGACTTGCCGGCGATTGACATCCACCCGGCTGCCCTGGCTCCGGCAGAGGGGTGACTTCACCGCGGACTCGGTGGAGAAGGTGGCGTCGGAAGTCAAGCGCCTTGACCCGGCCGGCGAGTGTGTGATCCTCCTCGTCGCGGCGCCCCCCTGCCAAGATTTCTCCCAGATCGGCGCGGAGGCGGGCCACAGCGGCGCCCGCGGCAGCCTGTTCTTGCGCTCGGCGGAGTTCGTCCTGGAGCTGAGGGCGGCGCTCCGCGGCTGGCGGGTTGGCTTCATGTTCGAGAATGTGGTCATGCAGCCGGCGTCGGCCAAGGAGGTATCCGACTGCCTTGGGGTGGAACCGGCGCTGGTCTGCGCCTCCGATTTCGGGTGGATCTCGAGGCCGAGGCACGGAGGACCCGGCCACCGGCGCACCCCTGGTCTGGACCAAGAAGGGGCCGTTCCACCGTCTTCGGCTGGAGGAAGCCAGGGCGGCGGCCAGCACTATGCTACCGGTGGGCATGGCCTTTCACCCGGCGGTGGCGTCGAGCAGGTTGCTCCTGCCATGCGCCACCACGCCGGCGGAGGACGAGAACGGCCGCCCGGCGCCGAAGAGAGCTCGGGGCAAGATTCCGGAGCCGGCGAGAGCCAGGTGGCTGGCGGACTCCCGGCAGTTCGCCCCCTGGCATTACACAGAGGAGGCGATGATCCACGACGAGGCCGGCCGGCTCCACAACAGCCCCGTCGGCGTTAAGGAGGCTCTCCACCACATACCGGCGGGGTACACGGACCTCGGCGACGGAGATGACAGGACCCGGCATCGGATGGTGGCCAACGGCTGGCATTGGGGGGTGGCCCGGCGCCTCTTGGCAATGCTCATGGCTTTTACAGTGGCACAGCCGGCGGAGGCGTCGGTGCCGGTAGCGCCGAGGACCACCACGGTGGCGTGGATGGCCTCACAGTTCGGCGCAGGCCCCCTGGACATGAGCCCCCCGCCTCGCCTGGCGTCGCGGCTAGACTTGCCGGAGGATGACCCCGACGAGCACTGGCGGCTGGCACTCCAGCTGAGCCACTGCACGGTCACCCGGCGGCCGGACCTGGAGCCGGCGGTGGAACGCGTCTTGGAGCTCGCGGCTGCCTGGCGCCACGACGTGGTCAGGATCCGCGGCGAGGTGCTGCAGGAGATCAGAGACATGGTGGCGGACCGCGTGGAGGAGACGGCGGCCTGGCTGGCCCAGCGCCCGGCTCCGGTGCGCAGCACCTACTCCACGGCGGACAAGGACCGGCCTACGCAGATCCCGGTCCTCTTGGAGCTCCTCGGCGTGGTGGGCTACCCCGACATCGCGGGCCTCACGGCGGACCTCAACCAGGGCTTCGACATGCTCGGCGAGGTGCGGCGTGGCCCCGGCTGGAAGGAGCGGACGGACGGCCGTTACCAGAACCCGGTGTCCCTGGACCAGCTGGCGGCGACCAACTGGGAATACGTCCGGAAGCGCGCCTCGGCGGCGCAGCCCGGCAAGCACTGGGAGACCCTCCTCACGGAACTGGTGGCGGAGGCCCGGCTTGGCAGGGTGGTTGGGCCGGCGGCCCCGCCGGCTGGATGGAACATTGTCACCGTGCCGGTGCTGAACACGCCCGGCGCCGATCGGCTGGTACCGCCGCCCCCAGGACGCCACTTTGCCGCGGCGTCCTTCGCCATAGTGCAGGAGGACGGCGAGGGGAACACGAAAGTGCGTCGAGGGGAGGACTGGCGGCGTTCGGGCCACAACTCCACGGTCCTGGCGCGGGACATCCCCACCCACCATTTCGTGGATGACGTGGTGGACTTCATCCGGCGAGTGGTGGAACTGGCAGGGAATCGTGGGGTCCCGGCGGCCAGGTTGTTCGGGCACGACCTGCTCAATGCCTACCGGCAGTGGGCAGTCCGGCACCCGGCCCACTCCGGCACTTTCCTGGCGACGCCGGCTGGGCTGACACTCTGGTTTCACCTGGCCATGTGCTTTGGAGCCGCGGCGTCGGTTTGGAATTTTAACAGGGCCGCGGACGCGATGCAGGCGCTGACCCGCGTCCTGCTGTGGCTGGTCGGCGGCCACTTCGTGGACGACTTTAACGGCGTCGACCTCCCGGAGCTCGCGGAGTCGGCCTTCCACTCCCTGGCGGACCTCTTCCTGGAGCTCGGCCTGCAGACCAAGCCGTCGAAGGCCCAGGAGCCGGCGGCCCGGCACGTGGTCCAAGGAGTGGAAATGACGATCGAGGCGGACGGCGTGTCCCTGCGACCCACCCCCTCGAGGGTGGCCAAGCTCCTCCGGGCCATCGAGGCGGCGCTGGAGACGAACGCCCTTCAGCCTCACGCGGCGCAGAAGCTGGCGGGCAAGCTGAGCTTCGCGTCCCAGTTCACCTTCGGCTGCCTCGGCAAGGCGGCGTTGAAGCCGCTATACGCCAGAGCCCACGACGCGGCGGCAGAGTCATCCCCAGAGCTGTCGGTGGGGCTGGCGGCGGCCCTCCGGGCGCTTCGGCAGCTACTCAGGAACATCCGGCCCCGGTTTGTGCCGTTCGTCGACGACGGCGCCCCGCAGGCCCTGGTGTACGCGGACGCGTTCTTCCAGCCAGGCGAGGTCAAGCACAAGGCGGGCTTCTTGCCGGCGGACCTGCCCACACCAAAGGGGGCACGCGGCAAGAACGGCTGGGGATATGTGGTCAGGGTCGGCGGCGAGACCTATTACGACTACGGCCAGGCGCCATCCTCCTTCCTGGTGGCGTTCGGCTCCAGGCGAGCCTTCATCTACGTGCTCGAGATCGTCGCCCAGGTCCTGGCGCTGACAACGCTGGCGCGGCGGTTACCGGAACGCTGGCTGGCGTTCATTGACAACGTCGCCGGCCAGTGGGCCCTCACCAAGGGCTACGGGAGGGACCCCGCGGTCAACGGCGTCTTGGCGGCGTTCTGGTCCCAGGCAGCGGACATGGAATGGCTGCCCGACTTCCGGCGGGTACCGTCGAAGGCCAATGTGGCGGATGCGGTGTCCCGCGGCGACCTAGCTACGGCAGAGGCGATGGGTTGGACCAGAGTACGCACACCGGCGGCCAGAATCTGCGCCATCCTGGCCAAGACTGCTGGCGACCTCGAGTTCGCCATCCATGGAGCATCGGCGGAGCTGAGAGCTTGCGCTATTTGAGTTTTTCCGGTATTTCGGCTGTGCCGGCGCTGTGTGGGGGTGGGGAGCGCCGGGCGGGTAGCTCAAAGCTTCCCCGGCGCCGGCCAGCCTAGTTTTGGGCGGAGGCGACGGACCCGGCGCGATGCGCTTTCTTCCCATACAAAAGAAGGGTATCCGTCGTCTCGTGCTAGCCTTTTCGGCGTTGCCCTAAACGTCGATAGCATATGTCGTGTAGCACACGTGTGTGCGCATGGACATGAGCGATTCGTCGTGCCGGCAGCTGTCCCGGCTCGACATCGCTTTTTCGGCCCACCCTCTACCACCCTCGTGTTGGGGAGTGGGGAGGAGGCCTCCCCAGTATCGGCGAAGCCGTTTGCTAAAAGACTCAAGGGTCGTCCCCCGCCCACGGGCGGCGCGTCGGGCAGCTCAAAGCTTCCCCGGCGCCGGCCAGCCTAGTTTTGGGCGGAGGCGACGGACCCGGCGCGATGCGCTTTCTTCCCATACAAAAGAAGGGTATCCGTCGTCTCGTGCTAGCCTTTTCGGCGTTGCCCTAAACGTCGATAGCATATGTCCTTGTGCACTCACCTTCTAATTCCACCCCTACACTCCTACAATACATCAAGCAGCGTGAGCAGGTTATGGGCGCAGTCGAGACCAAGATCCCTCAGCAGCTTTGGCGAGTTCAGCGAGGGCGTAAGAGCTTTGAAAAGGTTCAGACGTTGTCGTGCTCACGCAGGTGTCTGGCACCGAGGGTTAAGCTTTTTCAGAAGTTGGTGGACAGAAGAACCAGCGTCTTCGGCCAGGTTCTTCACCCGTGGAGTCGGAGCCTGGGCTGCGCGTGCTTGCATGTGCCACGCGTTCGCTGCGCAGCAGTGCCTTCTGATGGTCATGGAGTGGAACTGACCCGAAGCTGCAAGAAACAGAGCGGGTTGGCTGCGCACACACCGAGGTCGGCGATTTCCAGTATGATGGCCCATGGGGCGTCCCTGCCCAAGCTTCGAAGCTGCTGACCTTGGACGAAAGCCATGGTTGGACAATAACGTTGGTGCAGACACAGGGAGGTAACAGCGATGGGTTGCGGCTGCGGCTGGAAGAGAACAATGCTCGGTCTCGTCAGAGATTTGCAGGTCGACACCATGCCCCTGCCTGGAGACGAGCTCTCCTTTGCGCTTGGCAAGGCAAGGTTCTCGGGCAGTGCTTTTGATGCCTCCAGCAACAGAAGGTCGAGAACCCAGGCAATGCCTGCTGAAAACGTCGATTAGTGGCATGATGACCGGCATGATTATAATGAGGAGGAGGCCGGTGACGATGTAGATGCTCATCATCGACACCTGCCGTTACCAGTAGCACTGCAACATCAACATCAGATCATCATAACAATGGCAGCAGAGCGACGTTTCTCACTCACCAATCCTCGGTGCGCAGGGCGTAGAGCATCAGAAGGTGCCAGATGGATATGCGCACAGCAATGCATAGGATGACAAGCAATGCAAACGGATGGAAAGCTGGGTCTTGTGACTGCTCTGAGTTAAACATACAACAATTCCAGTGCGACCCCGGATGCCGGGGGGGAAAACCGAAATGAAATGTACTGATGCATTGCAGTAGCGAGGAGGAAGTGAGGACGAAGGAAATGAGGACCAGACTTCCTCCG